AGATCTTTTCCCCCCCCCCCCCCCCCCCCCCTCGAGAGAGAGACACTTTTGAAAAAAAAAAAAATGAAGTATATTGTTCAACAAGGAACAGAAAACGAGAAAGAGAGGTAAGGAAAAATAATATATACAAAGATTAGGGGAATAATACAAAAAATAAAATATACAAAACCCTCAGAAATCGTTCCAGGGTCCCACGGAATGAAAGGAGAACTTTCCTCTCCGAGCTCCAAGGCAGGAGTGAAATAAGAAACCACCCCCTGCCTCTTATCAGAGTGTGTGTGGGAAGGGGAGGGAATACAATGGTTTCACCCCCACCCGAGGTCCTCCCAGTTGCTGGAAGATCACGACCCCATTCCAAGCCTCAAACCACAACACAGCTTTAAGAAAAGATGTTCTAGGAGAGTGCTTGAAGACTGAAGAAAGGACAGTTCCACACCTGGCTGAGAAATCCTTCCGACTTCTGCAAGCAAGACTCCCCAGAGGGACCACCATGCCTTTGGGCTGAAGCAAGCCCAGGGGCCTAAAGGACCCTCCTAGCTTGCTGTCTTTGCTTTGGGCTTTTGAATGTGCCTTAGCAAATGCTTCTGTCTAATGCAATTACTAATCATAGTTCTTTCATTTTATTTCTAAAGTCTGGATCCCTCATAGGATTTCACTAACTGTCTCTGAGGCGTGCATGTGGTTGTACTTGTGCTGCACACACTACAGTAGCAGTAAGGCCTGCAGCTGGTAACCCAGGAGACAGTCTCTTCATCTAGTTTACAACATCCTCTGCCTGGGTCCCTGGCGGAGGGCGTTGCACCTGTGACGCAGAGCCCTTATGGGGGCCTCTGGAGTCTTTGTGCAGCCAGGCACAGGGCACACGAGACCTACACTGAGCTGGGGGTCCTTGAGACAAAAATAGCTGCAGGCTGGAATAGTACTGGGTGGAATATCAGACACAGTTTCCTTCTTCTTACCTTGCCCTAGACTCTCACAGCCACTGTTGAAGAACAGCAAAATGTCCCAAATTAACCCCTGATCTGAAGCAGTACAACCACTTTTGTATAAGTTGATTTATGTATAGCTGCCAGCAGATGGGCAGGGACACAAACTGGTTTACATCATTTAGTGAATAATTTTTGACTGGAAGGGAAGCACCTTTCAGCATGTAGGTTGCAAACTAGTGTAAAAGACTGTTCCTCTGGCCAGCATCCTTTTTGGGCTCTCTATCTATGGGAGGTGCTGGCAGCGATGACAGGACTTTGCTGTAGTTTCATGGATGCTTCAGCTGCTGCCCTTGCACCTGATTCTTATCAGGACAGACATTTTACTTTATATATTAATTTTTATTAACATTAAACCCCTTCAGAGAGCAAGACATAATACATTCCCACACTTAGAGCAAATATGGAATTGTACCGCTGCTTCACAGGAATGACCACACAACGAAAGAGCAATGAGCTGCTGCACATGGTTTGGAAAAGTCCTGAGCTGGCCTCCAGCATGGCTGATGCGCTTGTAGAGCAGCAAAGAGTTCTAGGCCTGGGCGTAGTGGAAGAAGCTGTGGCTGAGTCGTGAGCTGCAGGCAATGTTTCATGTGCTCAGCCCTGATGTTTCACAGTTCAAACAGTTGCTTCTCCTTGTCATCCAGAGGGCCCAAGGCCTGACAAAGGTAAGCCAGCCTTAGAGAAGAGCAAGTAGAGCTTTGCCTGAGGTAGGTCTGAGAGGAGAGTGACAGTGGGAAGTAGCTAATGATTTAGAAAAAATATTCAGTACACGTTCCCATGGCTCTTCAGTTACAGAGGCTCACTAGCCCTGAGGGCCCATCACTTCACCAAAACTGCCAGAGCAGACTGCCAGCCTGGAGGACCCTCCACGTGCAGCTCAGCTGTGAGTGCTTCAGGAACTAGTGCAACAGAGTGGTGGAGACCAGTGTAGCAGGAAAAAGCATGGAGCAGCCTGGGAGAAGATTCTCCCAGAGCAGAAGGGAAATGGTGGTTTTGAAATCACAGCTCCAAATCAAAGCTGGAAGCACTCTGCACTCAGCTGGATTTGGGCCTTGGTGTCTGAGACTCTTGCTAGAAGACAAGGTTAGGATCAAGGGCTGAGACAGTCAGTAACCAATACAGGAGCCTGTGTGCCTGCTGGTGAGACCTGCTTTTCAGTCCCATCCGTGACAAAGCTGTGTCTGTTCCCTCCTCCCAGCTCTGCTTATCCAACCATCGAGCACTGAGCCAGGAGGCAGTCATGGTGCAGCCCCTCAGCCAGCACCTGATGTGCTGGTGGCCTGCTGGAAGAAGGGAACAAATCAACAAGATGAAGAAGAGGAGGTGGGCACCTTAATTTGAGATTTACCTAGCTTGGCTTTTCTTTATTTAAGGGGTCCTAGCGCTGCCAGGCATCGCTCCACGTCATTGCCCATTAAACCTGGGGTTCACGACTGTGGTGGTGGCACTCTTGAAGAGGGGGTTATCAGCCTGGAGGGAGACAGGTGAGAGGTCCACGTTGTGCTGTATCGTATTTTTCAGCAAGCACTACCCACCCTGCCCCTCCCAAAGCTGACAACACAGACAGCTTTGGCAGAAGAGCCCATAGGCTGCTTTAGCCCCCTGCCAACTTCAGCTGGGCTGTGAAACAGGCCAGCAGGGAGGGCTCAGGTCTGCCATGGCTGCCTGTAGAGACAATGCTCCCACCACAAGTTTGTGAAAGTCCCAGCATACCCCAGCATCGCAAACAGGGTCTTACATCATTCCACTTGGCCTTGGACTTCTCCTTCTCAAAGCGGCGATACTCCCGGCGGTCAAACAGCTCCGTCAGGAGCCGCCAGATCAGCAGGAGCAACAGGCCGATGAGGGCTACACCAGCAACAGTGCCACCCACGATCAGCGCGACGTTGGGAGGCTCCGGGCACTCTGTGGAGCGTACAGAGAGTGTCCAGCTGCAGCCCCTGGTGAGACCACCATGGCAGAGCTGGCAGCCTGCTTGCAGAGACTTGGGAGGAGCAGGGCTAGGGTACCTTTGTTAGGATCAACGGTGACAGTGTATATCTCATCACCATCCTCCTGGACCATGCGGAAGGAGATCCAGCAGTTTTGGGAATCCTTCTCCTTGCACTGCCTACTCCCGGTTGTTGACACATCTCCCACCTGTATGTTGGGGCATTGCTGTGAGCAGTTCTTCTCAAAGGGGCCGCTGTTGAAGGCCTTGCACTCCACACATGAGCTGCAAAATAGGAAGCCACAGCTCAGCTCTGCATTGGCAGAGACCTCCTCACCTGGCTTTGGCTGTGGCTTGGCTCCACCCAGGCACAAGCAGGGCTTGCCTGCACCTGCCCAGGAGGTGAGGGGGATCCCTACTGCCCCCCACGACATCTCCACACACGTCACTCACACATGTGTACTACAGGCTGCAGTGCAGCTAGGGCACTCCTGGCAGAAGGGGGGCAGGTATCCCTCCTGGCACTGGCAGCGGTTGCAGTGGCAGGTCCCGCGGTGGCTGCACTCGTTGCCGCGGATGTTCAAGCAGCCCTCTGTCGACTTCCTGCACTGGCAGGCGCTGCCCTGGTACGGGGGCAGGCACTTGCACTCCCCGCAGTCACACATCCCGTGGTCTGTGGAGGAAGACCTTTCAGATCAAGATCCTACTGAGAGCCAGGTCACACTCTCTCTGCCCATACTTGGTGAGCATCACCCACCCTGCAATCTCCACGGGATGGTCAAAGAAGTCCCGCAGGCTGATGCAGCGGGACCAAAGACCTCCAAACCCACACACTTGGGTTTCGGCAGGGAAAGGCAGCATCTCCCTGGGGACTTACTCTTTCTAAACGGCGCCCAGGTGGAGAGCCAATCAGGCAGGTGCCTCACCTTTGCCACCGCAGGGGAAGCCGTTGTGAAACTCGCAGTTCATGTTGTCGCACTCGCAGAAGGTGCCGTAGATCTGCTTGCCGGGCTCGTCACTGGTGTGGCAGACGCACTGCCCGCACACGCAGTCCCCCAGCCCTGAGCAGATGACAGAGCTGTTGTCCTTCCGGCAACTGCCCTCCAGCTCCTTGCTGCTCTTGCCTTTGGTGTCGCACTCGCAGTTCTTCCCTGTGTAGCCTGGATTGCAGCTAATGCCAAAGGAGAGGAGGGAGCACAGGTCAGAGGCCACAAGAAATGCTGTGAGGCATGTGCAGGGCTCAGACTTCAGCCAAAGCAAAGCAAGCCTGCGACAGCCTCACCAAAACCCAAACATGGCACGTTGGCTCTAACACTGTGCTGCAGCAGGGCGACTGAGTGGTTGCCCTTAGGAAAGCAGCAGAGGCTCCACCAGTAGAAGAGAGGACTCGTGTTCCCTGCCTCCATGAACATAATCTGCCTCTCCGAGTAGGAAAATAGGTGCAAAACTGCAGAGCCAAGTTTTTGGCTTGGCCCAACAGCCCTCTCACAGCAGTTCCCCAGCTCTGTCAGAGTTTGAAACAGAGGCTCTGGGGAACAGCACTTACCTGCAGATCCCACAGACGACGTTGCCTTTCCCACTGCAAGCGGTTGGGTCTGGCTGCTCGTTGCAGTTGCAGTCACAATTGCTGTCCAGGTGGACGGTGAGAGTATCTGTGAAGCCCAGTGGTCGGATGGTGAAGGACTGGCTTTTGATGCACTCCTTGGCAGTGACCTTCACTTTGAAGGTGACCTAGAAAGTGCAGAGTGAGAAAGGGAAGGCCAGAGGCCATTGGGTAACTTTAGCTGTTGGAGGGTGGCGTCAGCCCCGGGCTGAGCACACACACATGCAGCACAACAGAGGGTTCCCCCATCCTGCAGCATTTTGGACACTCTCAGCATTAAATTAAGGTAAACAAAAAGCTAGGAACAACAGGCTGGGTTCCTGCCCTTAAACAGGATGGGTATCAGGAACCTTGTGAGCTGAGGGGTGTCCTGGTATGGGGGAACGTACCTCTTCATTGATTTTGACGTTGTCGCACTGCCCTTTCTCTTCATACATGCTGGCCTTGTCCTTCCTGCATGTGGAGTTATATTTAACATCCAGGACATCTGGCACTGTGGAGTGGTCCAGGATGATCAGTGAGGAGAGATTCTGCAGAGGGATGGTTGACAAAGTGCCATCAGTTCAAGAGGAGACCATAGCAAGGAGGTGTGCAGTTGCAAGTCAGGGCTTCCCCTCAGCCCAGGGGATAGGGGCAGGGGACAACCCCAGGCTGGGATCTCAGCTGCCTAGGGTGATTCTGGAAAGGTAGGGTGAGCACTGGAAAAGTAGGACCCTCTTGCTTGCTGTGGGCAGAGGGACTCAGCATCTCCTGTACTCAAAGCCCTGGTCCCAAGTGCTCTCTGAGAGTGAGGACACATGATGGAAACCTTTCCCTGCTCCGAGCCTTGCCTGACAGGTGAAACAGCCTCTTACAGCACTTACATTGTAGGCCTCCTGGATGAGTTCAATGATGTTGCTGGAGTCCTCATTCAGCTCTCCCACCGCCGACTTTGGGATCATCTCACTGAGTTTCTGCCAAGAGAGAGTAAAGATGTGAACATTCACCCTGTGCAACAGTGGAGAAGTGGGCAGTGACAGGAGGGCATGCACAACAAGAGGTCTCTGTCCTCCTGGGGAGGGATGGGAGGCACCTGGACCATCTGAAGTCTCCTTACCTTATAAACATCCACTACCTTACTGGTGACAGCAAAAATGGGCTGAATGTTGTTTTCGGCAAGTTTCTGGACAAGCTGGCCAACCGATGGGTAGTCCTACGTGGGGAGAGGGGTGCTGCACTCAGCACAATCTCCCCCACCAGCAGAAGGGTAGACAGTCTGGGTTTCATAGCCCAGATTACAGTGATTATAGTGACCTCGTGGTCTCAGCAACAGACATTTTATGCAACATTTTTTCTGCCCGGGGGAGCGACGCTGAGGGTGCGGAGCTGCTGAGCAGCCCCTGGGTACTTACAAACTCATTGCTCTTTTTGTACATGTTGTCCTCCAAGTGGCACTGGCCATCGTTGGGAGTCAGGATGGCCCCTAGCTTGCCATCGCCGGCAAAGTGGAAGCCATCGTCAGTGGCG